TGGACCTGTCCCCAGAGTTTCTGATTCAGTGAGTCTGGGGGGATGGGGTGGGTCTGAAAATGTATTTCTGACAAGTTCTCAAGTGATGCTACTGCTGCTGCGCAGGGGACCATGCTTCGAGAACCAGTTTCCAAAGGAAGGAGAAATGATGGTTGAAAGAGAGATTGTCAATGTCCTTTTCTCAGGACCTCTCCTGGAGATTCCCTGAATAATGACTTGTTTGTGGAGGGTAACAGATGATCTCCATGGCCTTTCTCAGATTTGCTTTCCTGGCTGGTGCACCCATCTCCACTTGCCTTGAGTGTTGGCTGCTAGTGGCCCACAACTGCCCCTTCTTTAGAGTATTACCCTCAGCTGCCACCTTCTGCAGAGAGTTCCCTTCAATCCAAAGGAGCCACCTCACCCGGGAGGTTATGCCCCTAGGGCCCAACGATGAGCCCATAAGCCAATGACTGACTGATATGGGTTGCAAAAGGCCATCCCTCTTCCTTTAAGATGGAACTTATTACAGTGTGATTTATTCCAAAGCTGAACTCTAGTAGAAATCACATCCTTACTTCTTTTTCCTGCCATCTCCTGCTTCATGGATCTCCTTTCTTCTGAGACCACTCTCTCAGTAAGTTATATGTGCCTAAATCCTTGTCTCAGATTCTGTTTGCGGGGAACAGAAACCAACTCAAAAGGTGTTCATCGGACCACAGAAGCAAGATTGGATGTGCTCTGGGGTGGACTGTGGCCTACTCTTTCTCATTTTTGGAATCTAGCTTCCAGAACTCACATGGGCACAGGCTAAGAACCACCAGTATCCACGCAATCCACAGGGAAGATACTGCATCCACAGATTAATTGCCTTGGTGGAGACTCTGTTGGGGTCTTCACCTCCAGGAATAGGCTCCTTAGCAAATTTGGGAACAGGACAATTAAAGAGGGTCTGAGACCTGGTTCCCTTGGAACCTTCTTCTCCAGCCCGAGGACTCTCCCCAAAAGTTTTATGATAAAAGGATCCTTAATGATTGTAGATGCCTGTGAGCTTGTTTGTAGGGTAGGGTTTATGGAACCAATTAGCTCCAGTTTACCTGATTTGCATGATAGGTTAGGGGAACTTCTGGTTCAAAGAAAAAATTCCACAGCACATAGGACTATGCCTGTGATGGTAATGATGATAGTCACTATGACACTAATAGTAAACTTTTAACTACTAAAACAGACTGGAGCTTCTGAGACACTCTTGGGCAGTCCACCCCTCCCAGAAGGTGTATAGTTTACCCTGGGGACTAAATCTGTTATAGGGACTGGTTGAGGAAGAGAGAAGTGGAAAATTTTATCTCTTGAACCTCTCCTTATAAAGACTTTACTGTTATTATCGTCATCATCATCATTATTTACAATATTCTGATTTGGACTGCTGCCACCATACCTGCCCCTTACTCACGCTCACATCCCACTGCAAGGACATTTCTGTTTCTAATTTCCCTGGTCTTAGGTCTCCCCAGAACAAGGTTATTTTTTCTTCAGGTACAGCCACTGGAAGGCATCAGGTATGGAGGCTGGATTTTTTAGAGCAGTGGTAGGATTGAGACCTCTCCCAGGCACTCAGGCTGAAGGCTGAAGTTCTTTTCCTTCATTACTTTAGGAATGTTGCTTCCCTGGAATATTCAAATTTGTACAGTAACTACAGATTCCTGGTTTAGGCTGAACCAGTATCTGGATAGAATTTTATACGTTGTGTCATCTCATCTTCCTCCATCCACTTCCTGATCTGAAAATAGTAACAGATCTGAAACCCATCTGAGGACTGTTAAGATCCCTGAAGGGTCTAAAGAACTTCAGAGATTTAGAAAAAACTCAAACATGAAGTACATTTTTCAACATCACTAGTGGCTGTTCTGTAATCTCACTGCCCTCATAATTGCCATAGTGCCTAGTGAAAGATTTATGGAAGTCTCAAATCCTATGGTTTAAGGCCAAAGGCAATCAGATTTTTTAAAAATCCACTTTCTGTACTAGGTTGAGTTCAAGATGACAAAACATTAAAACATTTTGAAAATATCTTTAATTTCTCATGTGTATCTACTACTTATGAATTTTAGAGCTTAAAATTATTTTCCTAATCATTTCTGGGTTAGTTTTTCAATTTTCATGATGCTATATAAAGATTAAGCCAGACATCACACTTCTATGTAGGTCCACAGCAGGATTTTGACCCCTTTTATGTTTGACATTACTCACTGATATTTAAATTTCCTGTACTTTTTACATGCAAAAAGTATTTTAAAGTGCAAATACCTATGTTCAAAAACTGTGTGAAAAGGAAAAGAAAAAAAGCTATTTCATTTTACTTCTTCATCTAATCTTCTCTTTCCTTAGAATCTGATTTTCTGAAATCTGTGCATTATAAAGACTGAATTTTAATTATAAAACAGCATGGGGCAGATGGAGTTTCCCAGCAGGTCCTTTGCACCTCTGGTTGAGAGTGGTTTTTGTTATGTTTTGTTGTTGTTATGCTCTTCTACTTTTATATGTTTTCACTTTTTAACCATGAGTGTGAATTAATTTTAAAAACCAAAATGTATGTGTATTAGATGTTGAGAGAGAGAGAAGATTGTCTGAGAAGCAAGGATACCTCTCATGTAGGGTCCTGGCCAGGAGACCTGAATGGGAGGGCACCAAGGCGTCTGACTCCAGGAGGTCTGTGCTCGTGGTCACAGCAGTTCTGTGAGCTGCCAGTCCCACCTGGTGCTTTTGGTTGTACCAAGGAAAGGTCTAGAATGCTTTGGAAAAAAATAAAATATTGAAGAGCAAACTGAGGGGGTCAAGAATGATAAGATTATTTCCGCTTCTATGTGGTCCAGTTTTATCCCCTCCCCTAGAGAGTCTACTCACCGTTTTATATCTTACTATATTAACTACTTAACATGCTTCCAAACAACCACAGACATTTTGATATATCATCACAAATATATCAACTACCAGTCAAACAACCAAGAATAATAGAATGTAATAGTAAATAGAAAGCATTCCTTCTTTTCCTGTCTCTCCTCCATTCCCATGAATTTCTCATGGTGCTTCAGTAAAAGAATACCTTCTGTTTCCTTGGGTAAGTCATATCATTTCTATAGTTTCAGTTTCCTTAGCTGAAAAATAATGGGTTGATTTAGAGTAGTGGTTCCCAGAGTTTGGGGCTTCATAGGCCAATAAAGTTTCAACAGCTATTTTTTTTTGAGATTAAAATACAATAACCAACATTCATTTTGACAATAAGAAAAATTAAAAGTCTACTGTAACCATAAGTTCAAAGAGTATTAGATAGAACCACATTAAATTGATGTTATCACCATTTTGGAGCAACAAAAAGGCAATTTATATGGTTTAACCTAATAGTAACTTAGTATCAGCATAAATAAACGATGGTCTTTTATATACAGTAAGTTGACTTTTATGAAAAACTCCCCACATTGTCTTTTTTAAAAATTTCATTTGCTGTGGATGGGTGAAAATTTCAACAAGAACTAGCTTTGTTTTGCAGACCAGCATTTGAGGACAGCAGACTAAGAGATCCTTGGGAGTCCTTCTACCTTGATATTCCATGATTCTAACATTCCCTGAATCTAAAGGCACTTACCACATGGCATTCTATGTTATCCATGTCTACGTTTGTTTCCTACTTAGATATGAGTTCCTTCAGGGAAGAGACCATGCCCTATTAATATCTGTTAACTCACTGTATATCAAAGTTTCTTGCACATAATAGGGATTTGGTTAACGACTGTTGGATGAATTATTACCATTCAGTAGGGAAGGTCAGTCCATGTCAGAGCTATCATACATTATGTGTTTCCTCTACTTGAGGCCAAAGTCTCACAACAGATATTGCAATGATCCTTGAATTTATCTGAGCATCTCTTTCCAAGGAGTCCAAACCAATCCTAGACATGAGGCCCATTTCTTTCAGGGCATCTCTAACCGACTGAGCCATACCAGGTTCATGTCCACTCACCTTCAGGAAGGTAAAGACCTTTTGTTCATTTTCTCCATTCACATCCCCTTTTTCAAAGAGCTGGAAATTGGGAACAAAGCCACCACCTGGACGCACATACCTGCAATGAACCAAAGTGTTCCTAAAAAGATCCAAACGAAGACAAGGATGGATAGTAATGGCCACCACCGATTTACCACAAAAGAGAATTAGAGATAAAAAGGGAGAGGTTGTAGACATGGAAGGTGAGAAAAGAGAGGTCTCTGGGAACCAGTATTTTATGCTATCTGCCAGTTGCTAGCTCTTCCTACTGGGTATCTTCAGGTACTCTAGGATGTCTGACTTGACTGTGCTGACTGGAGCCTTGTGGAACCAGCGCATGACAGGGACTCCAGTAGGTCCCACCAAGAACTTCTCAAAGTTCCAGCGGATGTCATGGACCCTCATGGGCTCCCAGAAGAGTTGGCTTGATGAACCCAAAAGATCAGAGGTTGGAGGGCAGGAGTTCTAGAACAGATATGAAAAACAGAATGATAAGATTATTTCCGCTTCTATGTGGTCCAGTTTTATCCCCTCCCCTAGAGAGTCTACTCACCGTTTTATATCTTACTATATTAACTACTTAACATGCTTCCAAACAACTACAGACATTTTGATATATCATCACAAATATATCAACTACCAGTCAAACAACCAAGAATAATNTTGAGAGAGAGAGAAGATTGTCTGAGAAGCAAGGATACCTCTCATGTAGGGTCCTGGCCAGGAGACCTGAATGGGAGGGCACCGAGGCGTCTGACTCCAGGAGGTCTGTGCTCGTGGTCACAGCAGTTCTGTGAGCTGCCAGTCCCACCTGGTGCTTTTGGTTGTACCAAGGAAAGGTCTAGAATGCTTTGGAAAAAAATAAAATATTGAAGAGCAAACTGAGGGGGTCAAAGAAGCAGGGACAAAGTGAGAGAGGAAGGAGAAGTACAATTCCAGAAATGATATGGGACTGGGAAAACACCACACAGCCAGGTTGCTGCAGATTTTTTTTTTTTTTTATTTGAGACAGTGCTAAAGAATGAGTTTAAAGTTGGGGAGACTCAGGGTGAGGAGAAGGCTCATCACTCAGAATGAAGAGACATCCCTTCCCAGGTGCCGTGACCTAAATTCACTAAGGGACAAGCACCAAGGAAGGCTCCAGTAGGATCCGGCCCAGAGGGGCTTTGGGATGACCATCATGGAGATGCCCCTCCTTTCATGTAAGGTGAGGTTTCTGCTCTCACTTTGCCTTCATAGATCCTATGAGAGAACTGCAGGATGGCAGAGGAATAAAGGAGGACTAGTTAGGGAGAGGAAGAGTGTAACAATGCATGCCTATCTTAGAGGAGAGAGGAGGCTATGAAGGAGACCTAGAGTCTTCCTGCCAGTTCCTGCTTTCTTTAAACCTTTAGGATGGGGAATATGTAGATGTCAGAATTTTGGGATTGCTTTTCTAGGGACATGGAGTAGTCTAAACCATTTACCCTAAAATATGGTATTTCTTTGGAAAAAATTGGGAAAATACTTCATATTTCAGGATCAGACATTTGGGGAGATAGGTTTTCCTTCCCTTAATCTTCAAACACACGCGTGTGCATGCACACACACACACACAACCATACGTGTATATACACACAAACATACATGCATATATACACAAATGCACTCCAACTTATTTGCTTGCTCACAGCTACACACACATGCATAAGCAGCTGCTTGGGTAGTATGGGATGATTCGGTCATATGGAGAATGGGTAGTAAGGAGTGTGGAGCAAAGGTGGATCCTTTGTTAGACATGTCCTTCAGGTGGGAGGCAGGGAGGCTACTTCTGCCAGTTGCTAGCTCTTCCTACTGGGTATCTTCAGGTACTCTAGGATGTCTGACTTGACTGTGCTGACTGGAGCCTTGTGGAACCAGCGCATGACAGGGACTCCATTTGGTCCCACCAAGAACTTCTCAAAGTTCCAGCGGATGTCATGGACCCTCATGGGCTCCCAGAAGAGTTGGCTTGATGAACCCAAAAGATCAGAGGTTGGAGGGCAGGAGTTCTAGAACAGATATGAAAAACAGAATGATAAGATTATTTCCGCTTCTATGTGGTCCAGTTTTATCCCCTCCCCTAGAGAGTCTACTCACCGTTTTATATCTTACTATATTAACTACTTAACATGCTTCCAAACAACCACAGACATTTTGATATATCATCACAAACATATCAACTACCAGTCAAACAACCAAGAATAATAGAATGTAATAGTAAATAGAAAGCATTCCTTCTTTTCCTGTCTCTCCTCCATTCCCATGAATTTCTCATGGTGCTTCAGTAAAAGAATACCTTCTGTTTCCTTGGGTAAGTCATATCATTTCTATAGTTTCAGTTTCCTTAGCTGAAAAATAATGGGTTGATTTAGAGTAGTGGTTCCCAGAGTTTGGGGCTTCATAGGCCAATAAAGTTTCAACAGCTATTTTTTTTTGAGATTAAAATACAATAACCAACATTCATTTTGACAATAAGAAAAATTAAAAGTCTACTGTAACCATAAGTTCAAAGAGTATTAGATAGAACCACATTAAATTGATGTTATCACCATTTTGGAGCAACAAAAAGGCAATTTATATGGTTTAACCTAATAGTAACTTAGTATCAGCATAAATAAACGATGGTCTTTTATATACAGTAAGTTGACTTTTATGAAAAACTCCCCACATTGTCTTTTTTAAAAATTTCATTTGCTGTGGATGGGTGAAAATTTCAACAAGAACTAGCTTTGTTTTGCAGACCAGCATTTGAGGACAGCAGACTAAGAGATCCTTGGGAGTCCTTCTACCTTGATATTCCATGATTCTAACATTCCCTGAATCTAAAGGCACTTACCACATGGCATTCTATGTTATCCATGTCTACGTTTGTTTCCTACTTAGATATGAGTTCCTTCAGGGAAGAGACCATGCCCTATTAATATCTGTTAACTCACTGTATATCAAAGTTTCTTGCACATAATAGGGATTTGGTTAACGACTGTTGGATGAATTATTACCATTCAGTAGGGAAGGTCAGTCCATGTCAGAGCTATCATACATTATGTGTTTCCTCTACTTGAGGCCAAAGTCTCACAACAGATATTGCAATGATCCTTGAATTTATCTGAGCATCTCTTTCCAAGGAGTCCAAACCAATCCTAGACATGAGGCCCATTTCTTTCAGGGCATCTCTAACCGACTGAGCCATACCAGGTTCATGTCCACTCACCTTCAGGAAGGTAAAGACCTTTTGTTCATTTTCTCCATTCACATCCCCTTTTTCAAAGAGCTGGAAATTGGGAACAAAGCCACCACCTGGACGCACATACCTGCAATGAGCCAAAGTGTTCCCAAAAAGATCCAAATGAAGACAAGGATGGATAGTAATGGCCACCACCAATTTACCACAAAAGAGAATTAGAGATAAAAAGGGAGAGGTTGTAGACATGGAAGGTGAGAAAAGAGAGGTCTCTGGGANACTTCCTGATTCATTTCCATTTCCTGTATTCCCTCCTCTTCCCTGTGCCTGTTCCATTTTCAAATCTTGCCCTAGTCTCACTCTCAAAGAACCCAAAGCTAGGAAGGCTGAGTATTGTCAACAGTGCTAGACTGAATTCAAAGCATCATTCAACCCACCCCAGAAGTTTCCCAAATGGGAGGTCCTCTAGGAAAAATGAAGAAAAGAAATCCTGACAGGGCCTCTACAGGGTTCCACACACGCACTCACTTGAGCCCAAACTGGATCTCTGAGTTTTCTCCTGGTTCTTGTTTTCCAAACTGGTTGCAGGGAAAGCCTAACACAATGACACCCGAAGGCTTCAGCTCCTCCTGTAGTGCATTTAGTTCTGCAGGTAGAGAATGAACAGCATGGGTAGCCTGGTCAGAGCCCTGCCTCAAGCAGTGACAGAACTCTGAATTTATCCATTTATCACACAAATAACCTGAGGACTAAGGAAGGGAAAGGTTCACGATTACAGAGATTGAGGAAGCAGAGGAAAAAGCTTGAACACTGATTCCAGAAACGGCCAAATGGCTGCTGTTTTTCTTGTGCAGTAGTTCTCATAACTAGCTGCACTTCACCATCTAATGGGAACTCTTACTTGAAAACCCACACACACGGGCCGGCCCAGTGGCGCACTGGAGAGTGCACCACTTGGGAGTGCGGTGGCGCTCCCGCTGAGGGTTCGGATCCCATGTGGAGACCGGTTCCTGCTCACTGGCTGAGCACAGTGAGGATGCAACACCGAGGGTTGTGATCCCGTTACCGGTCAGTAAAAAAGGAAAAAAAAAGAAAAAAAAAAAAAAAAAGAAAGAAAGAAAACACACACACACATGCACGCACGCACACACAAACACACAGATTGGTTAGTCTTATGTGTGGGAGTCCTGTTTGATTTTGAAGAGAAGCCAAATGTGAATGCCACTGCCTTTCTTAGTTGGATTGATTAATCAAATGTTGTTTTAAGGAAAAGGCAAACAAAATGTTAACTCTACCCCCAGTCCCACCCCCGCATTCCCCATGATGCCACAACCTGACATTCCAGCCACATTCCCGGGAGCACTCTCTGGTGTTCTACCCTGACAGTGGTAAAGGGAATCAGAGAAATTCCAAGCCTAGCTCAAGCATTCTCTATCCTCTCATCAATTCCAGTGAACTACCTGATGCCATTTCCCTGGAATACTCACTGGGACCCAAGGCCACAAATTCTAAACTGCTCTTTACCACCATCAGGAAGCCCTCTGACCTGTCTGCCTAGACTGGTACCATTATTTTTATCTCCGGCCACTTTCAGTTCAGATTTATTCGGTCGCCAGAATGAGCACCAGCCAGTCTCGTTCAGACTCAGCTCTGCCTGCTGGCATCTCCCTTAAGAACCTCTTCATAAGTGGAAAGTGCCTTCCTGTTTTATATATTTCTTCAGTTACTATCTGTTGTAGATTGGATGCCCACCCAACCTCACTGAAGCTTAAATCCCCGCTGTAATTGTTGAGGATGGGAAATCCTATTATGGTAAATTGAAAGGTGGGGCCTCGAAGAGGTGATTAGATTGTTAGGACCATACTGTGGTGAATAGATTAATAATGGTGGTCAGGGGCATGGCTTGGAGGACTTTAAAAGGAGAGCATGGAAAGCATCCCTCTCTCTGCTTCACCATTTTCTGCCATGTGAGACCCCTGCATTGCTGTAAAGCCACCAACAAAGAAGACCCTCACCAGATGTGTTACCTGGACTTTGGATTTCCCACCCTCCAAAATTGTAAGCAATAAATTTAATTTTCTTACAAAGTACCCAGTTCTGTATATTTTGCTATAAGCAATAGAAATGGACTAATGCACTGTCCATATTCATCTCTCTCTTATATTCGGACATCAAGAACATTTCCTTCCTCAGCAGAAACACTTAGCAGACCTTGATTCTAGTCCTTTGGCAAGTTCCTTTAACTCTCTCATTTTCCTCATCTGGAGTAAAATTTGTATGAGATGCTCTTTAAAATTCTTGTCAATTCATTTAATAAGTTATGTCATGGCAACACAATGGAAAATTATGCACTAAAAATGAATGAGGAAACTCACCATGTACTGATAAAGAATAATGTCCAAGTTATTTTATTATATGAAAAAGCAAGGTGCAGAATCATTTGTGTGTCTGTATTTGTGTATATGTGTTTGAAAGAGAGAGAAAGAGAGAAATTTGCTTGTATGTGCATAAAATTTCTGGAAATACACACCATTAACTGGTGACAGTGGTCACCTAAAGGGAAGGGAACATGGAAGCTGTCACTGTTAAACCCTTTTGTATCTTTTGAATTTTGAATGTTGTGAATGTATTACCTAGTCCACACAATTTAGTTTAAATTAAACTAAATTAAATTAAAACAGATTTAAAAGCAGATTCACATCCCATGGAATGGATGTTTACATACCACCAAGACTTAAAATGCACTGTATTCAAATTTAACTTTTTGAAGGGGAGAAAATCCTCACATGCTAAATGATACTAAGCTGTTGTTTGGGCTCTTATAATTAGGTCCTGTGGTTTTATAAAAATTTAGTCTTTACAGCTTTTTGGATTTTCTGTAGAGCTCATTATACCTAAAAACAGAAAAATACAAAGTGACCTTTAAATTCTCTTAAATGTTGGAATCTTACCCAAATCTGTACTTTTGAGAGAATCTTTTTACACATAAATTTCACCATTAAATTGAAAAAGGCTTTATCTTTTCTTAGTAAATATGAACCATTTGTTTTCTGTTGTGCTTTAGAGGAGGGGGTATTCTTTTTTTTTTCCCCTTTTTGTCTTTTTTTGTGACCGGTAACGGGATTGCAACCCTCGGTGTTGTGCCCGCACTGCGCTCAACCAGTGAGCGGGCCAGTCTCTATATGGGATCCGAACCCTCGGCGGGAGCACTGCCGCGCTCCCAAGCACCACACTCTACCGAGTGCGCCACCGGGCCGGCCTGAGGAGGGGGTATTCTAATATAATTTTTGCCTAAATCAAGCAGCTCCCTCTGAACGTTAATTTTAAGATGTCAAATTTTGGTGACCTGTATGTCTTAGATGTGAGATTGCAATATGCTTAAATTAAGTGGTATAAGTATTAAAAAAGGAGAAAATTATGGGATTTCTTTTTATTGAAGCCCCATTATGACAAATTGATAGGACTACATATTTTTGATTTATTGACTAGATAGCAATGTCAATGTGTGGAAAATTTCTCTTAACACTCATTCATGTATTATTTTGATCCATTTCTNAGGTCCTGTGGTTTTATAAAAATTTAGTCTTGATAGCTTTTCGGGTTTTCTGTAGAGCTCATTATACCTAAAAACAGAAAAACACAAAGTAACCTTTAAATTCTCTTAAATATCTGAATCTTACCCTAATCTGTACTTTTGAGAGAATCTTTTTACACATAAATTTCACCATTAAATTGAAAAAGGCTTTATCTTCTCTCAGTAAATATGAACCATTTGTTTTCTGTTGTGCTTTAGAGGAGGGGGTATTCTAATATAATTTTTGCCTAAATCAAGCAGCTCCCTCTGAATGTTAATTTTAAAATGTCAAATTTTGGTGACCTGTATGTCTTAGATGTGAGATTGCAATATGCTTAAATTAAGTGGTATAAGTATTAAAAAAGGAGAAAATTATGGGATTTCTTTTTATTGAAGCCCCATTATGACAAATTGATAGGACTATATATTTTTGATTTATTGAGTAGATAGCAATGTCAATGTGTGGAAAATTTCTCTTAACACTCATTCATGTATTATTTTGATCCATTTCTCTGTGGCATTTGGTGCAATAAACCTTTTGAATTTATCTTGAACATTTTTTAAAAAGCATAAAAAAAAGTTCTTGGCATGTCAAAAACTATACCTATCTCTATTATAACTGATCTAGAATAAAGAAAATGGAAAAATCTACCTCAGCCACCATGGAGGTTAGGCTGAGTTTGGAGAGATGAAGCATTCTCCCATATTATCAGTCACCCCAAACAGCCTTTACACCAACCAGTGGCTTCCAGATTAAAAAAAAAACAAACAAAAAAACCTTCATTTCTCTCTTTTCTGTCATTTGGAGGTATCTGCTGAACCCAAGAGCATTTTTCAAAAGGTCTAAGATCAATCCTCTTTCCTGTTGCTGCCAGAAGTCACCAGTGAGAAAGATAAAAGTGGCCTTTGAAAGCTAGGTTCTGAGGCCGGCCCGGTGGCGCACTCTGTAGAGTGCGGTGCTTGGGAGCGCGGTGGCGCTCCTGCCGAGGGTTCGGATCCCATATAGAGACCGGTCCGCTCACTGGTTGAGCGCGGTGCGGACGCGACACCGAGGGTTGTGATCCCATTGCCGGTCGTGGTACGGGCGCGACACTGAGGGTTGCGATCCCGTTACCGGTCACGAAAAAAAAAAAAAGAAAGCTAGGTTCTGGCCTGGGAGACACAGCTATGCTTTGGTGTCCTGTTAAACACAAGCAATTTCACAGAACATCAATAACACACAACACCTGACCATGACAAATCAAGACAAAAACAAGGACACTCCATAATCCTGTCTGAACACAGACAAAACATGAACATTGTCCAAATCATAAAAATGAGAAGCCCCAGATCCGATGGTATGTTCTCCTTCAGGACATTGAGCAAAAAATTCAACTTATTCAACTACAGGTGTGTTCCTGGTGATCTTTGACTAAATCTTTGGGAAAGTCTTAGTTCTCAAATCTGGAGCTAATTCTCCAGCATTTTAAAGAGCAGAGCAGTAGTAGGATTTGGGGGAGTAGAGTCACGTGATCACTTATCCCATCCCTCACCCCCTAATGACATATTAGTAAAATCTTCTGAAATTAGAATATGGCTACCTGGCAAAGCTAGTTCCAAAATAGCTGAAACATGAGTTCTTACCAGGATACTGAGCTGTCAAGCCGCAATAGGTGGCCACATTGACAAAGAGCACGTGCTGGCCTGCATACTGCTTGAACTGGATATACTCCTCGCCACTGAGGGTAAGGGCTCCATACTCATAGATGGTGCCTGTCACCTCTTTGTCACAATCCATCTGGAACGTAACAAAAGTAACCATAATGATGCAAAAAGATGAACAATAATTTCTAACATCTGTGGACTTTTTCAAAGTAATATCTTTCATGGAATATCTTGAAATTCTTAGAAACAAGAGACCTTTTCAAGTAATATTTTTAATTAGGGCTAATGCCACAACTAGAATTTATGTCTTCTAACCTACCATTCAATTATGGGGGGCAGGGGGGTGGCACAAGACAAACACTTCATAACGCTTTTCCCATTCCTAGAAGATTGATACAATCTGCCTCCCTTCAATGACATTGCACTCTCCCCCCATCTAGCACCCTATTCCAGTCATCTCAACCCTTCTCAAATATTCTTAACAGAATTTTTGCAGGTTTTCATATAGAAATAATTTTTACATGACTTTCTCATCTGTATGTTCTTATATTGTAATCCCTCCCCCCAAAGCTGGGCCCACAACTTGTTCCTATTCTGGATTCCACTGAGGAGCCTCTCCAGGCTTTGCCAGTGGGGTGCTCAATGGTCCCTACAAAACTCATCCTTGATACCCCATTCTTCTCATCTTGTGCTGTGGAGAAACAGCCTGAACTGCTCATGAATTAAGGATAATAAAATAAGGAGCACAGAGAGGAAAAACTTTCTGTCTACAAGCATGCCAAGAGAAAAAGGCAGATAGGACCTGGGACAAAACCTAAGATCCTGCTAACTGGTAAGAGAAGCTGGATTCATGGAGATATGAAGAAAAGGCTTAGAATTTTAGAGTAGTTTAAGTTGGGCTTCAAGGGATCTTGGTCCATAAAGGTCTGCCCCATGGAGTGAAGGAATTGCCTATGGGTGAGCTCCTGAGGGGAGAATGGGACAAGAAGCTCTTGAACATCTTTGAAGTCTGTCAATTCTGTCACCAGGACACCACACAATAGCTTTTCCTTCATTGTCCTTAGAAAGAAAGAGGCTTTCCCTAGGGCAGGCCCCTTCTTTCTATATGCATACATCTGTACACACCTATGCACATACATTAATACAAGTATTAGGGAACATTAGCCTAAGAAACCCACTATGACAGGGTTGTGATCTATGTGCCCGATTCTCTTTGCCTTCATGCCGCCTTACCTCTGTGCTACATAATTTCTACCATGTGCCTTTCTTACTACTGTAATAGATAGTCACATGGAAATTATCCTGTAAGCTGTCATTTGCATGCCTCCATTTTCCTTGTCTTTTGATACCTTAGTTCTGGGTTCAACAACTTCTAAAGTTTGTCTCTCACATGGATATCGTCCTGCAAACTGGGATACAGAATCCGAAGAAAACTGCAGACTTGAAGAGCTCAATCCTTCTTACCCAGCTTTTCAGTTCTACTCCAGTTTGCTTAGGTCTCTTTGAAGAGGTCAGGATACCCTAGAACATAGCTTTTCATTCATGATTTTCTGCATCAGGAATTTCATGCCCAGTCAGGCAGCAGTGCCTGACATAGGCTTGGATGCTCCTTAAAGGTTGCCCTTTCAAGCTGTGATCTTTCTTAAAAGTATATAAGCTGTAATCTTACTACAGCTGCCAGTCTTTGAGCATTTTATGTACATCATCTATGCATATACATTATTTTATGTACATGAACCCAATGCACATGAACCCAATAATAGAGATCAAAGCTCAAAGCTCAGATTTGAGGGCCTGCACAATTATTACCTGGAAGCATTTTAGAAACGCAAATTCCTGGGCTCTCCCTAAGACCTACTGAATCAGAGACTCTGGGGTGGGCCCCAACAATCTGTGCTTTAACAAGCTCTCCAGGTAATTCTTATGTGAGCTCAAATCTGGGAATCACTGCACTATATGATGGGCATTGTTCTCCACCTTTTATAGAGGAGAGAAAGAGGACAACAAAAGTTATGTAACTGGCTTAAGGCCATAGTGAGGCTGAGGGTTTTTTTTGGGTTTTTTTGTTTTGTTTTTTAAAGATGACCGGTAAGGGGATCTTAACCCTTGATTTGGTGTTGTCAGCACCACGCTCTCCCAAGTGAGCTAACCAGCCATCCCTATATAGGGATCCAAACCCGTGGCCTTGGTGTTATCAGCACCACACTCTCCCGAGTGAGCCACAGGCCTGCCCTGAGGCTGAGTTTTTAAATGTTTGTCTGATTTTAAAGTTAAAAATCTGCTGGTGCCTCCAGTTGCCTACTTCAATCCCCACCCTGCATCCTAAGACACGTACACACATCTTTTACAGGGGTGGCCACTGACATCCAGTGTGGGACTTTTCTGAATGGCATGAATTGGAGCAGCATCAAGATCTAAGAACAAATCCTCTTACTCTGATCTGAACTTCATCTCCATTCCATCACATCATCTTTCCTAAAATTAATATTGGTGGTCAACAATCTTGGCCCTATATATTTTATTCCCTGGGAAAAAAAGGTCCTCTTTCCCGACCCTGAAACTCCTAGAGAACATTCCAGCACCAGCTTCCTACCCTCTTCCACCGGGTTTCAGGCTGAGCAGCCTCTTCAACAGCAACCAGGTCAGGCTCCCTCTCAATCCATTTGCTGCTTTGTGCCTCATTTCCCGGGACCCACCCAGCTGCCCCAAGTAACAGACCAGCATGGAGGGGACAGGCTCTGGGCTATCAAGGGCCATGGGGGAAGTGGCAAAGGGAAATGCAATGAGGACACCCTTCAGCAGCATCCCCTTCCCCCCATTTGGCTCAAAGAACCACTAGGTGCACAGGAGAAGATGCAGGTAAGAGACAGTGGGCAGGAAGGAGAGCCTCTGCCGCAGGGGACAGCAGTGGCAGAAGTCTGCCAAGAAGGGGTGGGAAGGCAGATGTCCTTCGAGAAGGGGAGAGGAGAGAACTCCTTGCATCTCTGGCAGCCAAGTTAGTCATCACGTGCTGAAATCAGCCGGATCCCCTGCCAGACACTCACCTTCATCTTCTGCAGCCCTAAGGTCTGCTGAGCGAAGCCGACCAGGAACAGCGGGAAAACACAGGAGGCCCAGAATTGCCGGATCATGGCTCCCACTGGGAGATCTAAGCGAGTCTGAGGTCCCCAGGGATCTTGGCCTCTTTTAAGGCCCTGGTAGGGACCACTTTGAAGATGCGCCCTCCAATCCCAGAGCTGAATTCACACACACGCATCTCAGTTCCGCTCTCCCCACTGTGCATCCGGGAAGTCCTGGTCCCTCCTCCTCCTCTCCTCCCCCCCAGCACGTGTGCACAAGTTCCGGCAGGTGAAGGTGGGGGTTTCCCTCTTTGGAACCCTACCCCCAAGTGACTGGCAGTTCCTAGGTGCTGACTCCACATCCATCAAGTATAGCCATGTCACTAAATCAGAATCTGCTTTTTTAACAAAATCATCACGTGATTCATATGCAAACTAAAGTTTGAGAAGCATTGCCTTAGATGACTATTTACCCTTTGCCCTATCCCTCAAACTGTCATCACTCAGTCAGTGGAACACCACCTTTTCTAATTACGAAGTCCAGCTATGGGGGCCTGAGTGTCTCAGATGCTTTGCCTTGCAATCGATCCCCTGGAGAAGGACTCGATGCAGAAGTAGCACAAATGAGGGATGCACATTCACAGTGGAAAGTTACCCAGGAGAAAGCCCTAAACTGTGAGTCAGGGAATTGCCCTGAGCTTGAGTTTCATCGTCTGTAAATGATTGTAATCATCTCTGCACCTGATTATTTTATAAACCTGTTTATTGTGAGGTTCTAATAAGGTAATAACCAGAGAGGTGTTGGAAAGTATTTGGACTGGTGAAGAGGCACAGAGTTGCTTTCCCTGGCTACCTCCTCTCCCATTCTGCTCCCATCTGTCTGGCTTTTCACTGCCAGCTTAGCTTTTCCAAATTCCCTTGCTGATGGAAGTGATAGTTTTTCCTCCTCAGTTCTAAGCCCCTTGTCATCCAGCCCCCTCCACCTGCCCTGCCTCTTCCAGGTTCACACAAAAGGCCTTCTCTGTCTCTTGGAACTGAAGCCTGGTTGTTGAATTCTTGTGAACTGTCTTGGAAAACAAGCTTTTTGTTATATCAGATTTCTGAGCTCTTCTCAAAGACCAGTAATTTGTGGGCTGATCACTGATACCTGATCCAGCTATGCAGATCCCAAGGCCTTTAGGGCAGTCACGCAGAAGGCTTCCCTCTTATGGCACAGACTGACACACATTCCCAAATTCTGCAGCCTTCTCCCATTCTCAGCTCAAAAAAATGGCTGAACCTTAGACTATGAGGCTACAGAGACCATTGAGTTTTATACCTATCTGTGCCTCGATGCTGAAAAAGTTAATGTCTCTGTCCGCAGTGTCTCATCTGTTAAATCAGGTTAATAGTATTATCTACCTTGTAAGGCTGCTATGAGAAATAAATGTGATAATAACTATAAAGCACTTAGCCAGGGCCTGACACAGGCAAGCAACTAGAAGTTTTAGCCACATAGCTTTATGTGTGAGAAAACTGAAGCTCAGAGAGAGAGAGAACATATCAAAAGTCACACGGTTAGTAATAGTGAAATGATTCCTACTCCAGAGCCTTTGCTCTGCTTCCATATGGATCAACAATTGTGACTAAATCTTTGTTGCCTAAAAAGCAGTTTGCTCACCTTTACATTTGCTCACCTTGCAATAATTAGCCCTTCAGGGTGAAAAGGCACTTCATTATAGACCTTATTAGTAGGTCAAATGGCCTAAAGCCCCAACTTCCTAGGTTTCCATGTGCCCTTTCTTCTGATAAGATTTTGAGCACCTTGGGTCCTGGCCTTCAGCAATGAGAAGAGAAAGTACAGTAGCACACACTGAGCAGAAGGAAACGAGGGACATCTCACATTCCTGGGCCAGCTGAAGGTATCACAGGGCTACAACTCTCCTTTATCCTCCTCCTTCAGACCCTTAGTTCCTTGCTATTTCTTTCCAGGAATTTCGCTTTCATCCCTCCAACACTTCCAGGATCTTCTCCCCTTCCTCCACACTCTGTCTCTATGACTTTTCTAAAGGTCAGTTTTGTTGACATCATTCATGTTAAAAATGCTTTGATTCCTTCTGGGAATCAATTCCTTCCTTTCTGTTGTAGCCATCAGATCGAGTTAAGGACAAAAACTGAAGTTGGAAAAGCTTGATATCTCCCATTTGATTCTTACTGCCAAGAGTTCAACACCAGGTTCTAGTCTGGAAGGTCCTTGTAGCTCTCAACCTTTCTCTCTACTGTCTGGACCACAACCTGGGTGAGGAAAAGTCAGTAGGAACAAGTGGTGCTAGAGGGGATTTTGTCCAAGACATAGAATCAGGAGAAGTTAGAGAAGAAATAGGAGAGTGATAAAGAGAGAGGGGAGATAAAGGAAAAAACAAACGTAAAGACAAAGAATAAGGTATGAAAAAGAAGAAAGGAAGGAGAACTAATGTATTACTTCCTTCTTACAACTATACGTCAGGCATGTTTAGATTTCTTGTTTAATCATCACCAAAATAAACATAAGGTTAACATTTCCCTACTTCATAAATAATAATTAAAATACAGAATAAAAGTAGATAATTTTCCCAAAGTTATGCACTTAGTAATATATCAAACTGGGATTCACACATAAGTGTGTTCTCATCCAAATTCCAAACCTTTTCCTGTCTGTAGTAGGCTAAATAATGGTCCCCAAAGCTAGTAGGTTTTAATTCCTGGAAGCTGTAAATGTTATCTTACAAGGCAAAGGTTTTACAGATGTGATTAAGATAAGGATCTTCTGTCAATGGGTTATAGGAAACTCCCCATGCGTCCAGAGATACAGGCTGGGAGAGAGAAGGCAGGATAGCAGGAGCGGGGACCACGGACATTTGGGCCACTTCCTCATGTCACTTACTTGTGCCTACAGGGCTTGCTCGAGCCTGATCACATATATACCATTTCCACTTGATGATGGAGAACTGTTATGCATTTCTAACTTTATGGCTTTGTCATCAGATAACACCCAGTTCGTGATAGGTAGCTGGGCCCCATGGACTCGGTGGCCTATGGTTAAGTGTTCGGTATCTACTAAGGCTCAGTCGCAGGCCAAGAACAATTTCTCAAAAGTAGAGTAGTTATCTGTAGAGAATGGCAGGGCTTTTTTACAAAATCCTAAGGTCCTGTGCTGTGCCTCACCTATAAGGACCTGCCAAAAGCTCCAAACAACATCCCTATTTGTCACTGACACTTCAAGCACCATTGGATCTGGATATATGGTCCAAGTAGCAGAGCAGCTTGCACAGCAACATGGACCTGTGGCAGAGCTTTCTCTTGTTCTGGGCTCCACTCAAAACTAGCAGCTTTTTGGATCACTCAGTAAAGGAACAGAGAAGTAACATGCTCAGCTGAGCAATATGTTGCCTCCAAAATCCAAAGAGGCCCACTAGGCATTGTGCTTCCATTTTGGCTGTGAGAGGGACCGATGCAACAACTTATGTTTCATCTTAGAAGAGATATCTCAACGTGCCCCATTCCAGTGGATCCCAGAAATTTCACTGAAGCAAAAATTCAGAAGGCTCCTGAATTTTTGTCAGATTTATTTCCCACCCCCTGACATGTAAATGTCTTATCATTAAGTCTAGGGTAGTTGCTATCTCTTGCTCACAAGATTGAATCAGCCTAATGTCATCAGTGTAATGGAGAAATGTGACATCTTGTGGAAGAGAAGGTGATCAAGAACCTTGTGAACTACATTGTGACATAGCACTGGAGAGTTGATGTACCTCTGAGGTAGGACAGTGAAGGTGTATTGCCGCCCTTACCAGCTGAAAGCCAACTGCTTCTGGTGGTCTTTAGGCTCCTGAATTTTTGTCAGATTTATTTCCCACCCCCTGACATGTAAATGTCTTATCATTAAGTCTAGAGTAGTTGCTATCTCTTGCTCACAAGATTGAATCAGCCTAATGTCATCAGTGTAATGGACAAATGTGACGTCTTGTGGAAGAGACGATGCTCAAGAACCTTGTGAACTACATTGTGACATAGCACTGGAGAGTTGATGTACCTCTGAGGTAGGACAGTGAAGGTGTACTGCTGGCCTTACCAGCTGAAAGCAAACTGCTTCTGGTGGTCTTTCCTAACAGGTGTTGGGGAAAAAAGCATTTGCCAAATCAGTATCTGCATACTAGGTACCAGGGGAAGTGTTAATTTGCTCAAGCAACGAAACCACATTAGGTAGCAGCTACAAGCTTATGATAATTTATTGTTATTCTCCAAGAACCAGTTGTCTTTTGCACAGGCCAAATAGGCTAGCTGAATAGGGATGTGGTGAGAATCACTACTCCCACATATTTCAAGTCCTTGATGATGGCACGAATCTGTGCAATCCTTTAAAGAAAGCAGTATTGCCATCAGTTTACTATTTTCCTAGGTAGAATCAGTTCTAGTGGCTTCCACTTGGCCTTTTCCACCATAATGCTTCCCATTCCACAGGTCAGTGAAACAACGTGGGGATTATGCCAGCTGCTGAGTCTGTCTACTCCAATTATGCATTCTGAAGTGGGCAAAATAACTATAGGATGGGTTCAGGGACCTACTGGGGAGCTGTAAGATGGACCTGAGCTAAAACTTCATTGATTACCTGACTTCCATAATCCTCTACTTTGATTGGTGAATCACAGTGATGTTTTAGGTCTCCTGGAATTAGTGTCCATTCAGAGCCAGTGTCCAGCAGTCTCTGAAAGGTCTCATTATTTCCTTTTCTCCAACACACAGTTGCCTTGGTAAAAGGATATAAATCCCTTTGGGAAAGGCTGGGAGAAAGATTAACAGCATAAAGTTTTGGCAGTAGTACCCTCAAGGGGAGCTAACCTCCCCTTTATTCAAGAGGTTCTGGGTCCATACATTTAAGTCTGGGAATTGATCAAGGGGTCATGACCCTCTGTTTTTTTGATTCAGGTTAGACTTCTGATCAAGATGGCAGAATAGACGGTCCCCAGCATCACTCTCTCCCTCAACTAAATAATTTATGACTATTAAAAAGCAACAAATGCCAAGCCGGGGCCACTGGAGCTCAAGGGAAGAGG